AAGTCCCCTTTGAGTGGGGTTCCCAGCAACAGCAGGTCCTATAGGCCATGCTACACGCTATGACACTGGCCCTGTCAAAGGAGGCTGCCAGGCCTATAGAACCTGGGTAGGAAGTTTCAGCCATTCCTACCCATGTGGATTGGAGTCTATGGCAATAAGAGAATGCCACCAGGGGGCACGACCTCCTGGGTTCTGGACATGCAGACTACCTGAGGTAGCCAGTAGGTATACCCCTTCAAGAGGCAGCTGTTCAGTTGCTACTGGGCCTTAGTGGAAACTGAGTGCTTGACCACTGAAGACCAGAGCTGCCCGTCCTCACATGGGTACACATCCTCACATGGGTACACATTAATCCCATTAACAAAACAGAGCGCATTCACTCAAGACCAAGCCTGACTGGGACCCCAAAGGGTCAGTCAGCTCCACAAAAAGTAGCTGCCTTACCAGACGGAGCTGAATGCTCCTGCCACTCCTTCAGGTAACTGAGGAGACGAGTTCAATGAGGTTCCAGCTGATGGCATGGCTTGATTCACAGATGGATCTGCAAAATTCAAATCTATCTGTCTGTCCAAAACTGACAGACTCCACTGGGCTGTTGCAACCATCTATTCCAAGGATGACCACATTTTGACTGAGACTAGACAGGGATGTTCCATACAATGGACTGAAATCCATGCAGTGGAGATGGCTGTGCAGGCCATTCCAAACACAACTTCACGGACTATTACAAACGATCTGGTTATATGGTCCAGTGACTGGCAGACTAATAATTGGGATATAAAAGACTTCCTGTGTGAGGCCAAGAATTGTGGCAACAGACTGCAAGCTGGGAAGGAGATACTTTTCATCACTCATGTTGATGTCCATGGTAAAGGACCATTTGAAATGGAACACAAATGGAATTCTCATGTTAACCAAGCTTATGTCCAGCAAGTTGCCATGGTTGCTTATTGGATCTATCACCAGATAGGACATGGAAGCCCACCCCAGATGTAAGAATAGGCCAATATGCAAAGACTTGCTCGAGAGGAAAGGGAAGCCAGAAACACTGCATAGTCTTGTGATTCCTATCAGCAAGCCCAAGTTACTCAACATGGAGAATTCAATAGCATTAACCAAGGAATCAGCTCTGCAAGTGCCTGGCAGATTGACCATACTGGACCTCTAGTTTCTAGTCACAGGTTTTGGTGGTGCCTCAGTACTGGGGACACATATTCCAGCTATGGAACATCAAGCCCTGTGGTATGGGGACACCATTGAAGCCTTGGAAAACTATCTGTCATACATTCAGATATTCAATCAGACTTCAGTCTGATCAAAGCACCTCACGTAAAGCATAACCAACCAAGAAATGGACAAGCTTCCATTATATAAGATAGACCTTCCACACTCATGTCACCCTTAAGAAATGGATCAATGTTGCTGTTAGGTGCTTTTGAGTCAGTTCTGATTCTCAGTGACCCTACGTACAACAAAACAAAACACTGCCTGGGCCTGTACCATCCTCACAATCTTTGCTATGCCTGAGCCTATTGTTGCAGCCACTGTGTCAATCCGTCTTTTTGAAGGTCTTTTTTGCTGACCCTCTACTTTACTAAGTATGCTATCCTTCTCTAAAGGCTGGTCCCTCCTGATAATATAAACAAAGTATGTGAGACAAAGTCTCGTCATCCTCTCTTCCAAGGAACATTCTGGCTGTACTTCTTCCAAGCCAGATGTGTTCATTCTTCTGGCAGTCTATGGTATATTCAATATTCTTTACCAACACCATTAATTCAAATGCATCAATTCTTCTGCAGTCTTTCTTATTCACTGCCCAGCTTTCACATGCATACAAGGTGACTGAAAAATACCATGGCTTGGGTCAGGCACACCAGTCTTCAGAGTGGCATCTTTGTTCTTTAACACTTTCAAGAGGTCTTTTGCAGCAGAAGTGCACACTGCAAACTGAACAACAGAACACTAGAATGGATGATTCGAAGAACTACTTCACAAAGGCCACCAAAAAGTTCAACTCACCACATAGCACTCTTCACCCCCACCTCACGAAGGCCATTTGGACATAAATACTGCACTCCAGCAGAAGGGAAACAGCATTCTAACTTATGTTGGGCAATACTGAGCTTGGAGCACATAGAGGGCCAGGTAGTCCCCCTATTAGGTTACACCTAAATCCCAATCTCAGTATACCCAACTGTTCTCCCCCTGCCCCCGCCACACACACACTGAAACACACTCCCCGGGAGGTGGTTTGTGGTCCAGACTGCAGTGGAATCACCAACAGGGCCTTCTAATTCAAATCTGGAGGCAATGTCACCCTCAGGAAACTCTTCTGTTGGACCCCACAGGAATGGAGAACACAGAACACCAATGCATTAGGGTTCCTAGTCATGCCCAGAACACCAACCCCTTAGTACAGGTGGGTGACATCATAGCTATGTAAAATTTGTTGAAGATGGGATTTCTCTCCCCAGTTGTATAATAAAGGTCAAAAGGTCTGAATCAATCGAGGGGCACTGGATCCCTGCAGAAGTTTTTGCCTAGGAACTCAGACAGATAGCTAGGTGGCTATATCCAAGCAAATCTAACCTCAAGTCACAGGGCAAGAGCATTTCCACCCATGGGAGATAAGGGAAAGGATTGTTAATGTTGTCTCTTTCTCTTCCCAGATTGCCTCACAGTGATGAACAAGCTTCTCAACCATGACCCCCTATGATACTGGCTTTTGCTAGAGGTACCAATCAGACCAATTATTGGCTGTGTCAACATGTGAACTGAGACAATGAACCATTTCTGCACAGCTTATCAGTCAATCTTCAATATGGTTAACCATGACAACCAACCGGACAGTGGCTATTTCCTTCCAAAACCACATAGTACTGGATATCCTGATGGCACAGTTTGGAGGTGCAAGTGCTACAGTGGGGAAAAAATGCTATTTTTTCCCTTTGACTTATTTAGTTCACTCGGATTAAGCAATGACCAGGATAGCTGGTTGCAATCTCTCCTCCAAGCAGTCTTAATCACCCTGCTGAAGATAATTCTACTAGCAAAACTCACTGCTATGGAGTCGATTCTGACTCATAGCAACACTATACAACAGAGTAGAAGTGCCCCATAGAGTTTCCAAGGCTGTAAATCATTTCAGAAGCAAACTGCAACATCTTTCTCCCGTGGAGCAGCTGGTGAGTTCAAACTACTGACCTCTGGGTTGTAGCCAAGTGCTTTAACCACTGCACCACCAGGGCTCTTAATCCTGCCTTAGGTGCTAAAAATAGCAGCTTCTTATATGTGGATAAATGTGATAACCAACAAATTACTTCTCTCTCTTTTGGTTTTCTCTCAGAAAAAAGAATAAAGCTACAATCCAGTAGGAAATGGACAAAATAAGTTAATATCTGAAACAGAATGTAAGGATACAGTCAACTCCACAAACTTCCCAAACATTGTTAATGCATAAGCATAAAGACCCAGATATGCTAACAACATCCTCAACTGCAAGGTCAAACCCAACCAGGAAATGGAGTATGACTCTTTCTCCTTAACAATCTCCTTCCCATAACTCCAAGTCAATTTATATACGGTCATGTGCTGCATAACGTCTGATTGGGCAACATCCCACAGCACACACTGTGGTCCCAGTCCATAAAGCCTATTATATTAAAAATTCAAAGTACATACAATGGTTCATAATAAGAAATACGTGTTATTTTGTGACGTGCATCAAAACATTATTATTATTATTACTGTATTATTACGTTAAAAATGTTTTAGGGTATCTGGAAGTGTTTTTTTAATGTTTTTATGCATAGAAAGTTATACTATATAATAAGATAAACATTTGCCTAAATGCCACTAGATACAAACCTATCCAACTGTTCCCAGTGATGTAGAAATTTGACTTAAAAACAGATTTAGGAATAGAATTCGTTAGTAATCCAAGGACTGCCTGTGTTTAATACGGTGTTCGCACAATGTCCAAATCACATAACGTCCTTTTTTCACCATACTGGAGCTCTGGTAGCATAGTGGCTAAGACACTTGCCTGCTAACCAGATGGCTGGCGGTTCAAACCCACCAGCCACTCCTCGGAAGGAAGGTTGGGCAATCCTACTTCCGTAGTGATACTGCCTCGGAAACCCAAGGAGGGGTCGCTATGAGTCGGGGCCGACTCGACGGCACATAACAACAACAACATACATACTATAGTGACTGTATAATATGTGAAAAACTCACTTTCTGTACCAGCCCATAAGGTCCTAATCAATGCATTCCCACAAAAATTGTAAAAATATTTACATTTGTTTATGACTATTTGTATATTTTTAAATTGTTATGCATTTTATACTATGAGAAATCTTAGCAGAGCACCTTTTTCCTCATTGGTTCTCCGTCCCCTTTACCAAAAGTCCAACCCCTAATTCACTCTACCTCCATGGTTCAGTTCATTTTGGTCTACTATAGAGTTGGCGCCAATTTAAAAATATCAGTTCAAACCTAGAATAAAACCCTAAATGAAATAGAGTGGTGGCTCAGGTCTTTAATGCTTATGATAAAATATACGAGATTTTTCTGGGTTTTGTTTACCCGGTCGGGAGTTGTATGTTTCCATGAACTCTGTAATATGAGCCAAAAGATCAGAAAAGGAGAAACAAAAGTGAAACTTAGGGGTTTAATACACCCCTCACCTCCTGCAGTAAACACAATGCGTTCATCAAAAGCTAAAACGCTTCACTGCAAGCAAGAGTAATCACACTGCGGTTTGCATTCAGTTTCTCTGGGGTACAAACAAATCCTCCTAAGAGTAAGGGGAAGGAGGCTCCAAATGGGGCCAGCACCCTTCTCTTTTAGGGTCAGCGGCGAGTGAGGTCGGGCTCCACCCGCTGGGGACGCGGGCGGGAGGTGAGGCCAGGCTCTCCCTGAGGCCAAGCGCAGAGCTGGGCCCCTAACTCCGCGGCTCCTCACGCACCATCCCGACCCGCTCGGCAGCCCGGTCTCACCCGCTTCGGGGAGTTCCATCGTTGCAGCGCAACCGGGCGACAGATCTTCACTGGTGGCGCTATTCCAGCTTTGCAGGCCAGTGCTGGGCGCGAGGAGGAGGCCGGGGCGGAGCCCGGGGCCGGCGGGCTGTGCGCGAGGGCGGTGCGGGGGGCGGAGGCCTCGGAGGACAACCACGGCTCGAGCAGCAGCAGCCAGGCCTGCGGAGGTGCGGAGCGCCCAGAGCCGCAGTCCTCGCGGCGGCAGCAACTGCAGGAGCTGCATACTCACGCTGGGCGCCGGGGCCGAATTCCCGCTCTGCGCCCGGTGAGCTCCCGGAACGAGCCGGAAGGGGCCGACCCGAATCGCCGACGGTACCCGGATTCGGGCAAGCGACGCCCGCTCGCCTGCGGTCACCGAGGGGGGCGGGGGGTGGTGGAGTGCAGCCGGCGAGCACAAGTCGGCGGAGAGCACAGGGCTCCTCTTGATTGTACGGAGGCGAGCCAGTCTTCCCTCCGGAGCCAGGGCGGCCTCCTGAGGCCTTTGGCAGCCCTCAGTTATTTCCTGTGGCGCGGCCTTTCCCGTCCCACGCTTTGAGGGGCGAGATTGGGACTCAACTGAAAGCATTCCCGGGCCCAGGGTCTCCTGAGGATCCCTTTGTTTAGTTTTGCAAAGAGCTTTGAAAACACTGAGCGCTGATTACAAAATATTTGGAAAGAGCGAAATGTACAAGAACGAGCACTTCCTTGTACATCTGTAAAATGAGATATTTCATTTACTTTGCATTTTTTCAAAAAACAAATTGTGGAGACGGCTACCGTGGATTTTTAACAATATAGTTTGATGTCTGAAAATTAAATGGAAATCAACCAACTACTGGTTTTTGCAGATTAAAGCTCTGAGTCGGGTAAAATAGGAAGAAAAGCAATGTAACTAATTTAAAAAATAAATAAGTGCATCTTCTTTGTGAATAACACTTAACTTGAATGCGTTCTAGAATGGGGATGTAAGCAAAGACCTACACAATCACAATAAAAACCAAACTTCCTGCCATCAAGTCGATTTGACTCATAGCGACTCCTTCTTGGGTTTCTGAGGCAGTATCTCTATGGAAGTAGATTGCCCAATCTTCCTTCCAGGAGTGGCTGGTGGGTTTGAACTGCCAGCCTTCTGGTTAGCAGTCAGATGTCTTAGGCACTAGGCTACCAGAATTCCCATAAGTACAATAATTCATAAAGCTAATTACTGTGATTTTAAAAGAATTCTGGCAAGTTGAGTTTCCATACCCATAGTAATTATGGGCTGAGAGAAAGGTACAAAACATTCCCCTAACACTTATTTAGGAGTTCTTGTGGTTTAGTGCCTAAGGCATCTGACTGCTACCCAGAAGGCTGGTGGTTGGTTCCCTAAGCCAATGACACATACTCCATCTATTAGAAAGATGCAGAGACAAGTGACTCCTGGCTGCACATGCATCCAGTCAATTCCAACTCGCAGTGACCCCATGTGTGTCAGAGCAGAACTTTGCCCTACAGGGTTGTCAGTGGCTGGTTTTTCCAAAGTAGATCACCACGCCTTTTTTCCAAGGTGCTCCTAGGTGGACTTGAACCTCCAAACTTTCAGTAAACAGCTGAGTGTGTTAACTATTTACATTACCCAGGGGCTTCCCCTCATATGTCTAAAACCAAATCAGGCTAGCTGCCATAAGTCAATTCTAACTCATTGCTTCCTATCTGTTGTTGTTGCCACCGAGTTGATTCCAACTTACGGTAACTCCATACGTGCAGAATAGAACTGCTCCGTAGAGGGGTTAACACATTCCAAAGGGCTATGACTTTTGGAAGCAAATCTCCCAGGTGCCTCTTGTAGGATTCAAACTGCCAACCTTTTGGCTAGTAGTCAAAAGCTTACCATTTGCACCACCTGGGGAATCCTAATATATCTCACCCATGGCAGTTGTGTCATTTATGGCTTATAGCTGTCCTCTAAGACAGAGTATACTTGCCCTGTAACAGGGTTTCTGAGGCTAATCTTAATGGAAGCAGGTTGCCACACCTTTCTACTGCAAAGCAGCTAGTAGATACAAACCGCAGACCTTTTGGTTAACAGCTGAGCTCTTAACCACTGCACCAACAGGACTCCTTATATTTCTATATCAAGAATATCTCATACCCTTGGCCTTTCCATTTCTCTCTCTCTCTCTCTCTCTTTAATTTTTATTGTGATTTGGGTGAAAGTTTACAGAGCAAATTCATTTTCCACACAGCAGTTCACATATACTTTGTCTCATGACATTGACTACAATTTCCCATAATGCAACAGGTTTCTTCCCACTTTCTCCCCATAGTTACCTCTTCCCTGTATGTCCTTCCCTCCATGCACTCCTGCCCTGAGCTGTCTCGCGGTGCATACACAGCCCTTCTATTCTCCCATGATTTATCTTCCCAAGGAGTGTATCTACCTAATGTAAATGTTCAGCTCATATGCCTATCTTTTGTTTGGCTGGAAGCCACAGGATTGGGTTCAATTCCATATCTGAAGGGCAGCTAGGGGCCATAGTGTCAGGGGTTCCACCAGGCTCTATCAAACCAGCACTTTCCATCTCTTTTAACATGCATTTACTTTTAATATGCACATGCCGTGCTTACTAACCATTTTTCTATACTTACCACATCTTAGTTTATCCATCCCATTTATTTTCTTTTACAGCAGAACTGAATATCTCAAACAATACAACAAATGCATGTCACAAATCTCTCAAATAATTCTCTGTCTGGTTAAACCTTTATAACACATGAGGAGCTGTGGTAGTACAGTGCCTAAGGCATCTGACTGCTAAGCAGAAGGTTGGTGGTTCAAGCCCACCAGCCACTCCACAGAAGCAAGACTGGGCAATCTACTTATGTAAAGATTTACTACCTTGGAAACCCAATGGGGGTTGCTATGAGTTGGAATCAAGTTGATGGCAGTGGGTTTGGTTTGGGTTTGGTTCATAACTCACCCGAATTTTAACTTGGCATTAGAAAACCTCTAGCAACTTTGACTTCTGGGTTTAATTTGTTTCTCTAAATGGCTCTATTTTTTACTGTTTCCAAGGTAATAATAAGAGAAAATTTTGTTTATCCCTCTAGTTTTTCCCCCTTGGTTCTAAGATCTGTACTTTTCCCACCCACTTAACTCTTTTTTAAAACTCCTCTGTTTGGAATGTTCCTTTTTATTCCATTTTGTTCTTTTAAATTTCTTAAAAAAAGAAATAAAGATAAAATAAAGGAAACTTCAGAAATAGGATCCCTCTGGCTACCTGTTTATTTGAAAGTCCCACGCCCATGATTAAGTTCAACACATGTCCTTACTTACCCTTCTTTCTTTCCTGGAGTTTTTGTAGCCAGTCACAGTGGACATCCACAGGAAGCACTGCTTCCCTCTTCTGCCCCAGGCCCTGGGCTACATATTACAGGTAGAGTTATCCCAGAATTGTCTGATTGCAGCACTGATAGTCCCATGTCCTAGGAAAACTCTCAGTCATAGGCAAATAGGGGTAGCTGTCATCCTAATATAGGTCAAGAGAAATGAGATGAGGTGTCAGAAGGAGAAGGATTTCTATGGACAGCAAGAACCTGGGGAGGCTTGGAAGAGAAGCTAATATCTGAGACTAGACTTGAAAATGAGTGAATTAAAACAGCTGGGGTAGAGGAGGTAACAAGACTATACAAGGAGATGCACAGGAGAGTGGATATACCAGTTTAACTGGTTCCGGTGACAGAGCAATGGGTGATAACGCTGGAAAATTAGGTTGGAACTAGATTATAAAGAACCGGGTGCCATCTAGTTGATTCTGACTCATGGTGACCCCATGTGTGGCAATTAGAACTGTACTCCATAGGGTTTTCAGTGGTTGATTTTTTGGAAGATCAACTGGCCTTTCTTCCGAGGCATCTCTTCATGGACTCAAACCTCAAAAGTTTCAGTTAACAGCCAAGCACATTAACTGATTGCAACACCCAGGGACTCCAACCAATCAGATCACAGAAGGTCCTAAATGACAGGCTAAGCAATTTGGACTTTATCACATAAGATTTGAGATTTATTAAAGAGCTCTGACTTTGGGACTGACATGGTGAAGAATGATTTTAGAAAGAAACATCTTTTGGGTTGGGGCAGGATTTATTGGAGAGAGTAGAGAATGGAAGTGCTAAATCCAGTGAGTGCACTGTGGTACTATTGTAATCCAAATTTGGGGGGCAAAGAATTGAATTAAGGTTTTGACTTAAAAACCAAATGAAGTAAACTCACTGCCGTAGAGTCGATTCCGACTCATAGCACCCCTTTTGGGTTTCCAAGGTGGTAAATCTTTATGGAAGTAGATTGCCCACACTTCCTTCCATGGAGTGGCTCTTGGGTTTGAACTACCAACCTTCTGGTTAGCAGTCAAATGCCTTAGGGACCATGCCAACTTAAAAACGGGAGAAAAAAAAATATGATAGATTTAAGAGATTGCAAAAGTTAGCAATTGACAATGTGGAAAAAGAGAAACTAGATTGGCCCCAAGATATAAAAGGATTTGATTGTGTATCCCTAGCAATCCATAGGGAAAAGGATAAACAAGAGGATGGAGAGATGGGGGCTGAGTGAGCAAGACATCAGAAAGTATGGGCTGGGTAATGAGATCCTTTCCCCTGACCTCTCAGACATCTTCAGTAATGGCAAATAGATTCACTTATTAGGTGTGAGTGATCTTGTTAGAGAAACCAAGGAGAGAGCTAAGAAACAGAGAGGCACAGGACTCCTGAACCTGGAGACTGAGAATTTTCTATGATTCTAAGTCACCGAGAATTTGCAGAAATCTTAAGGAAGGTTGATTTTCACATACTGTAAGAATTTGAGTCAGTTTTATGGAGATCTTGACAGGCAAGTTAAATGATGATGGAAAAGAGCCAGTCTAGTAAAGGAGAAAAACTGATTGAGTAATTGGGGGTGGGGGGTTGGGAGGGTGGGGGCAGGTAAAGTCAGAACAAGAGAAGTCTTGAGTCTTAGATAGGAAAGAAGCAAGCTAGGATGGGTGGATTCCGATACGTATTTGGACGGAACTATAGTTACATTAGTTATTTTCTAAAGATGTCAATTTTTCTTTTTTTTTTTTTTTTAAATCTACTGTCAAATCTGTCAATAGGCTAGACAGAGGATTTAAGAAAAAAGAAAAAGAAAACTGACATCTTTAGAAAATAACTATTGTAACTATGGCCCTGTACTCTTTAAAACCTATAAAGAGCTCTGGTGATGTAGTGCCTGGGGGATTTGACTGCTAACCAGAAGGTTGGTGGTTCAAACCCACCAGCTGCTCTGTGGAAGCAAGATAGGGCAGTCTAATTCTGCAAAGATTTACTGCTTCAGAAACACCATGAGTCAAAATTGACTTGATGGCATGTATTCGGTTTTTCTGAGTTTGGTCAAACCTGTATCTATTTGTGGGTGTAGTCCCATTTGCCTTCCCACACCTGTTTAGCTTGCATATATATAATATATATCCAGTCATAGATTATTGTTACTGAAGCATTGTGTATATACTATTCCTTACCTCTGTTGTCTTTAACTCCTGTGTTCCTCCAAAAGATGCTAATTTTCTTGAT